TGAAGAGCATTCCTTTTACTAGTTTTGGATCTCTCTGTTATATCAGCAGGTGACAGGGTCATTGTTTTAGGAATTTTCTATTAAAGGTGGAGAAAAAAGTTGTACCACCAATTGATATCATGCAAGATCTCATCGCTTTAAGTATAGTTTGTGCCAGTCGTGCTTGAGCTACATAATGCCACAGCTTTATAATTTACAACCTTTCATACTATTAAACTTTCTCCAAATTTCAATACCTTCTAAAGAGTGAGAGGTACACTTTAAATCATCCTGCTGTTAAGTTGCAAACTTAGATGGACCAGATGCTTGAGGTTTGTGAACATGGCTTTTGTCCGACTGCATATGAGGTATGTCAGTGCCCCGCCTAAAATTGTGTTGTTTCTAGAGTCTACAGTATTCTCTACAAAAAAACAGCACTGACACAAATTCACAAGATGCCACCAAGTGGAAAAATCTCATAGTTTTGATAAATAATCGAGCGTCTGTGTCAGTTCACCTGTGCTTGGCAATTTTTACATGATGGACAAATGTGCCCTAGACCACTGACACAGAGACAGGGATTTAAGTTCTGGTCTTTAAGGTCCCGATTTGAAAGCACCAATTTCTGTTACGGTCAGAAATCACCTTTACATTGCAGCCAACAAAAGACAAAAATGAATAATTAATTTAACAAGATTTATTCAGTGTTATTATTATAATACAATTTTACAACAGTGTACAACAAATATTATTCAAATAGATTTTTTAAACATCAACGTAACTGTTAAAATTTATGTCTGATCATTTGTCTTTCGTTTATCCAAAAGTCTTCTTTTAACTATAACGAAACCATATTGAATATATATGTATATATATTAACACAACTATACAGTCATCAAATGATTCACATTGTATTATATATTTGAATTCAATTTGTTATTGATCTTTTGAACAATCTATGCAGACAGAATCTACATGTAGCGCTAGACACTTACACAGATTTGAATACAATTTATACTTTTATAAATTAATTATTATTAATTACTGAGGACTAGGGGAAACAACTCTTTTGTATGATTTCTTAGTATATTTAAATGTAGACGTCACATACAAATGTACCATTCTACTTTTAAGTAAAAATTCCGCTTTTTTACATTAAACTCTACCACTAATGCAATGAAATAAAGAAACATAAACTGTTTTAACAAACTATAATAACCTCAGATTTCAAAAAGATTAATTTAAAATTGATATTTTCTTTGTATGATTATAAGCTTTTGTAAATATTTTTAGTGTTTCATCAGCCTCTGTTATAAATCACTACAAAATTATTGAAGAGCTTTCATGGGTTTTGCCAAAAAACAAATGCTAGTACATGTAGATTGTAAATGTCTTTCACAAGCATTTATCTATCATATATATACAGACGATACAACAGGATCTGCTTATCCTCCCAAAACACCTAAGATCAGCGCAAGTTTATGGTGGGGTTAGCGTTCTATGTTGTGTTTTGTGTACTGTTGTTTGTCACTCTTTTTCACCATGGAGTTGTCAATATAAAAAAAAGGAGATGTGATATGGTTGCCAATGAGACAACTATCCACCAAAGTTCAAAGGAGTGAATATAAGCAATAATAGGCAACCATAAGCACTTCACCAATAAGAACAAACCATACCGCAAGGTCGGCTTTAAAAGGCACCGACATGAAAATATGACACAATTCATTTGTTAATTCTAACGGCATACTTTATAACAAACAGTTTACGAAAAACAAATATGACAAACATGAACCAACGACAACTACTGAGCTACAGGCTCCTGACTTGTGACGCGGGCATCAAACATGTGGCGGGGTTAGACATGTTTGTGGGTGCTCAACCCTCACCCTAACCTGGGACAGTGGTGTAAAAGTACAACATAAGAACAAACTATAGAAAATAAGTTGAACATGGCTTAACTCATCAGAAGGATATATAAGAAATACATCTAACAAAAACACGAAGTAGACATGGCTGGGTACTTATACATCCCCCAAAACATAAAGACACTAGGTGCAGATTTGAGAGTAATCGCAGTTACTGACAGCTAGTTTAAAGCCAACAATGAACAAGTAATGAAAAATTTTGTATCTAAGACTAAAATATCAGTCAGTACACATCCAACAAATAAATTTAGTTTAAAGACTTCATTCACAGTCAGCGAAAAACACGAGCTTGAGCAATGTCAAACTATAAGTATCGACAGATTGTAGTACCGGGAAGGTGCATATGTGTACTATTTAGTATAATTTTAATAGTTTGATATAGGAATCAATATTTACACCAATTAAAACTATAATACAAGATTTAATTACAGTGTTGAATAGGTAACCTTTTAGAATAAACTTACTTAAGGACGTATAAGTTTACACGGATAGTATCCAAATCGCCGGACTCGGTTAACAACATCACCGTAAAATTTGGGATATGCTATTTCGTTCAGTTTATTTTCAACTTATGAGTTTCAATGTCCCTTTGATATCTTTTGTCTCTCTTTACATGACCTTTTACAATACGAAATGTCAAATATATACATGTAAATTATATATTATAAATTGTGAGTAAGGTAATGAAAATCATTTTTTGGATCCATTTGAATAGTAATAGAGATTGACAATCGAAAATATTATATTCACGACGATCCATCCGATACTAGATCTTCTACCAACGTTAATGAATATTCTTTCATATATTATTATATGATATAAATCCGTGTCGATATACCGGATAACAGTGGTGTATTATCCCAACAAAATACGTTTGGACGTAGATATTTAGTCAGACTTAAAACACAGGTAAAAATGTAGTATTACATTTTAGTTATTTATCGGTAAACAACTTATTAATATAAAATGTGTTTTAACATGCTATTTTGATACCCTGGATTCCTTTTTAAACAGGCATATTTTGTTTCGTGACAAGAAGGATGCAATAATGTAAGTATACATTATTAAACAATCTCATAATTTATCACTGTGTCTATAACTAAGAACTCTCACAATAACGCCACATAACGGCAGCCAAATTGCAATCTAAATGGGTTATTTAGGTTAAGATCATTTCTCTATTATAAGTTTTAAACATCACAGTATTATTTTGAGAATTTAACTACCACTATGGTTAAAAACAGGAGATACTAAAATTTTCACAGTTACATAATATCGATGACGTTCTAACATTTTTTTTTAAATAATGACACGACATATATTATACACAAAAAAGCCAGCAACAATCGTATGATTGTATTATTCTATTCATCATTTATTATTATACAACAAACACGTCTTATCATGTACTTAAAAATAGTGTTCATGATCGATATTAAAATCTTATTTGAAAATGAAAATAAACAAGTAATTTGATCAGTGTTGAAATTTCTGTTACAAGTGCAGAAATATTTGATGAAAAACATATTTGTTTCGATAATAATCAAAGCATCATCTATCGACAACGATAAGACATTGCGCTGTTAATCTCGATATGAGTTCAATAGGCATTATATTAACAATTAGAAAATGTTCAAAAGACAAACCACACTACAACTAACACAAGATAGAAAAATAAAAACGAAGGCAACATAAAAAGTAATTCTCAACCGAAGGAAGTGATGGAAAATGAAGACATAGTTTATTGCAAAACATAACATTTTTAACACCTCATTTAGACTTATATTTACTATGACGTTATTTGTTTTGTTTGAGATAAATTTTTCGAGATATTGAGTCTTCAAGTGCAATTTAAAGATCGTGTATATCTATTTCTATCTCTTAAATGTCGAATAAAAATAATTGTAATGTAAACAAAGAAACTCGTTTACTAATAGTTCCGTTAATGTCCTTTTGTATGAGATTGCTTGATATATATGACGCTTTGCAAAATTGAATTGCAGTGTTTATATTTCTTCTTCGAAAGTTTTTTTTATGTTGGAAATTAAAGATATTTACTTGCAGTTCATCTTCACTGGATCCCTACCAATGTTTATTACAAACAAACCAGATTCGAACTTTAGATGTAAGGTATGAGATATAAATTAAAAAAAGGGATAAAAACCATTTTGCATTATCTGTTTATATGATCATTAACAGTTTTTTGTAGTCGTAAAATTCACGATAGAATCTTTAACAAATACTTATTTCCGCTCAAAACTATAATTCGGAACTTTGAGTTATATTGCATCCTTAAAAAAAGGTGAAAGATACCAAAGGGAAATACAAACTCATAAATCAAAAACAAAGTGACAATAAATTGGCAAAAAAACAAACAAACGACCAAATGGAAGGCAGCAGTTCACAAAACCGATAAAGAAAATGGGCTAATGAACAATACAAACGATACGGAAAAAAACGCATTGGTCTCAGGTTATCCAAAAGGGTAATAAGATTTTGCTCCACAAGACACCCATCGTGTTGCTTTTGGAATTGCAAACCTTATGATACGTCTAGTTCAGTACGTCTCATTAGAGGGACAGAGGCTGGGATTATTGTTACGACATCATATTCATCGTCTTCTATTAAACATTTACTGCATCACAATAATAACCTTCAAGAGATACTCTAAATATTCAGTTTTAGATTCTAAATTAGTTCGTGCTATGTTTTATTATCAACACTAGTTTAATTATTTATCGTATTTTTATTTTTTGTAAGAAAGTATTAATATCATTCTTCCCCTTATTCATGTAATTATACTATCAAATATCGTAAATTCATTTATTCATTCTTTAGCACAAAAGGCTCTTAAGGGCATACAAAACAGTTTCGATCCCAAGATGATTTTTTTATGAAAATTTGCATACAAGCTATTTTGTACCTTAGAAATTCAAATATGTAATAATAAAAATACCTACATGTGCTACTTTAAGAGATAAAAAGGGTTTTGTGGACATTTCTATCCTTTGGATAGACATACCTAACTTTTTTATTTCATCAAATAAACACAACCGGATTTTTGAAGAAACATTATGAAAATCTTCTTTACATCAATATGCTCTACTAGAATATCAATTCTACTTACTAGTACACTTGGTTCAATCAAAAACCTGGTAATAAATTGTTCAAATAAGGCCTTTGAAAATAGTGTAATTAATTACTTTTGGAGTGTCAAAAATTCGTTGGAAATACTTGATAAATTGCATTCTTATATTGGTGATTTCGAATCTGTTCAAAGTTTCGATTTTTCTAACCTATATACCACTTTGCCTCATAATCTTATTAAGAAAAAATTCACACACCTGATTAATTTGGCATTTAAAAAGTCGGAATGCGAATATATATGTTCAAACTCTTTTAGGTCAATTTTTAGTAACAACAAACAAAAGAACTATGTCAATTGGACCTGTTTTGATACTATAACTGCCTTTGAATTTTTACAAGATAACATTTTTGTTCGCTATAAAGAGTCCGTATATCGTCAAGTTATCGGAATTCCCATGGGGACTTACTGTGCACCACTTATTGCGGACCTGTTTCTGTATTGTGATGAGTTACAATTTATGACTAAAATCAGCAAAGACCAATCGAAACAACACGAGATTCAAACATTAAATAACACTTTTAGATATTTAGATGATATGTTGGCTCTCAATAATGACGACTTCAGTATGTACACTTAAGAGATTTATCCTGCCGAACTGACTTTTAATAAAACTAATACTAACAATGACCACAGCCCTTTCCTGGATCTTGATATCTATATTTTTAACGGGAAGCTTAATACCAAAATTTATGATAAAAGAGATGATTTGTCATTTCCTATTGTTAATCATCCATTTGTAGATGGTGACGTTCCCTTGTCACCATCTTATCGTGTTTATATATCTCAACTTGTTCGATTCACTCGTGTATGTAACAACGTATTGGATTTCAACAAAAGAAATCTCTGTATTACTGAACAATTATTACACCAGGGTTTTCGATATCACAAGCTAGTCAAACCATTTACTAAGTTTTATCATCAGTACAAGGACATCATTCGTAAATATAAATCAACATGCAGACATCTTATACGTTCGGGTATTTCACATTATATACAATATTTTCACATTATATACAATATTTTCACATTATATACAATATTTTATGGTTAAATTCTTTACAAAGCACACAATTATCGACATTCACCTCAAAAGCTAACCAAACCTTTAAACAGACTTATTAGGAAGGAATATAGTTACGATACTGTTGTCAGATCATTAAGGATTGCATATTTTGGTATTAATATTGATTCACTCATAGGGTCTTTGCATCGGAAATAAACACATTTATTCTAAATCCAGTTGTTGGCATGATACAGGTTATGTTCTTCTTATATATTTTATGATGATATGATGCTAAACCCCTAACGGGAGGGATTGTACTTGATTTTCATATGATGAAGACATAATCTTTCAATCAGTTCAATTTAGGTCTGGAGCTGGTATGTCAGTTACTACTAGTAGTCCTTTGTTAATTTATGTAGCATTGTCATTTTGCTTAGTTTCTTTTGTTGCCTATTCTGACATCGGACTCGGGCTTCTTTTAAACTGAGTTTTACTGTGCGTATTGCTATGTGTTTCTTTGTTGTACATTGGCTAGAGGTCTCACAAAAAATGTTTAACTCCGCCACATTTTAGCACCTCTTTAAAATTAGAAGACAAAAGAATAATCTTATATAGAAGGAAAATATAACCAGGTTTAATCCACCATTTTCTACATAAGAAAATGCCTGTACCAAATCAGGAATATGACAGTTGTTATCCATTCGCTTGATGTGTTTGATCTTTTGATTTTGCCATTTGATTAGGGACTTTCCGTTTTGAATTTTCCTCGGAGTTCAGTTTTTTTGTGATTTAACTTTTTTCTATGATTCAATTTGTCCTAAGACCATCATAATTTGAACTATCTTGAGACGCTTTGATTGCGGTCTTTGACGTATCCGTATGGCTATCTGAGGATACTTTCGAAATCAGGTGTAATGTATACCCTGGTCTACTGAAGCTATTACCTCGGATTGTAACAAAGAGTGAATTTATTTAATTTGCTTGTTATTTAATTTCCTTTTAACCTTGTATTCTTTTTTTTTTCTATATAACCATGCACGTATAAACAAAAGTTGCAAACGGTTGTCATGAATTTAAGTCTTGTGCTGTGTAATAAGTAAGAGGTTTCATCGTTAACAACATGTTTTATATTAATTCCAGAAAATCAGTTTTATGGTGTGCAGTATACTAGGGGCAGCAGATTTTTCTCCATTTCTATTATCTATGTGGATTCCAAAATTGAGATTTGTGAGTTATAAAAATTTTGTTGATGCATCTTTATCATGTTTATAGTACTTTATACAAATCTTTTTTCGGGAAACGGTGTAGGAAACAATAACACCAATGCCAGCGTGATAATTTCAATGACATAAAGACACTTTTTTTTTAAAGGAGCACCTAAATGAACCAATGTTTATTTAAACGTTTATTCAAGACGAATATTAAAATAAGTTTTCTTTATGAAATATAATATTGTTTTAAATTTTATAAGACCGAAAAAAATTATTTGCGTACGTATTATGTTATGGTGCTGTCTACGTCTTCTTCGTAGGACTTTGGTTCGCAGACAATAACTTGAGTTTAAATTCATAGATCTCTATGAGAAGGATTATATGAAGTATTTTTGGGGGATTTCCTCCTAGCGGTTTTGTAATTAGGTGTCATAAAGGTCAGTTTTATTGGTTACTTTAGCTTAAGTGCATGGATGTGTAAAAAAATTTAGAACAAGGTTCCACACCACCACAAATCGAAGGTTGGGATTAATTTTGGGGTTATTGTTATTGCTGTTTAAGAATTGGGGGCCAAAAAGGGCTTCACAAAAACAATTATGTGTTAAGTTCACAGACAATAACTTGAGTATAACTGTATAGATCACTATTAAATTTAAGTTAGCTTTCAAACCACAAATGAAGGTTGGGATTTATTTTTGTGTTATTGTTGTTTAGTAATCAAGGGCTACAAAAAGGTAAAAACACAAGCATATGTCATGTTTCGAGACACTTATTTGTGTATATTTTTACTTTGTGCTCAGTTCATAAAGTTAGTCCAAATTTGGGTCAAAAAATTAAAATTTGTTTGGTTTCTTCAAACATTAAATTGTTGGTGTTCTTTAATGTGTGTAATCTAACACGGTTTTTATTTATTTTTTTTATTTGTGAACTGTTTTTCAAACTGGACCCTATAAAGGTCCAAAGTAACCATTATAAATCAAAAGAATTATGTGGTGAATCTAAACGTTTATCCATAATTTTAATATCGGAACATAATTGGTAAATGTCCAAATTTAAAATGATGTAAGAACGTATTCAACATTCATTCTGTGTAAGAAACTATGCTATCATTGCATAGTTGCTCAGAATCTAAATTGAAAGATGTTATTGCACAGTTAACAGAAATTTTATGTTGGGTCATAGTTGAAAATAGATATAACATCATATATAAATTCAGAGAACTTTTTTGTAGGTTACATCTCTGGTTTTTGAAAAATAAGTTGGATCATGGAAAATAAATTAGTCGAATAACAATATTTTTAGTATAAGTTGATTAAAAGCAACTAGAAAAAGAAAAAGAAAACTTGAATTCCCCTATCCGTCCTAAAGAGTGAGGTAATGGTCTGTTGTGGAAGACCAAAAGATAACCTCAATATATCTTTCATCTGCTTTTTCATCCCAAAGTTTAACAGAGGCTTTAAATTGAGTATACTGGACTTATTCCTTTCTACAAGATGGTCCATTTTGAAGTACCGTCAATTTCGCTGTCGGGAAATTTGGATACGCTGTGATATCTGAATGAAGTCTTGTTTAATTTGTTCTCGTCCTAAAGTTAATGTAATATTCTTAGTCAACGTTAAACATGTTTAACCTAAAACAATTAATTAATCAATCCTTTTTTGTTGTTTCAGCGAAGTATGCCCAAAACCTCTGGTTTCCATATTTCAATTTCTGTAAAGTTGTATTCTTAATTGTATTTGACCCAAATAATTCATCGGAAATAAATGAAGTAACTTGCACAACTCCGAATATCATCTTCCGATAAACAGATGATGTTGAACATTTTATAAATAGTTTTGAGATTATTTTCTTTTTTAGATATACATAAGTGTTAAAATGAATCAGATTGCTGTTTATCTGCGTCCACAAACTTATGTTGTATTAATTCAGATGTGTGATGTTGGCGGTTGTGGCTATATCAACAAGGAATACTTTTATACAATATCAATTTTGATGGTCATATTATCCGTTGTTGTATTACTACTCACGATCATTTCAGCATCCTACTGTTGTTGTTCACCATGGGATATACAAGAAAATCAGGTAAGTACATGTTATCAGTTTGTTTTCGATCTATGAGTTTGACTGTCCCTCTGGTATCTTTCGTCCCTCTTTTATGGCCGCTGTTGTTGCCTTAAGTGTTACTTGATATATATTGACAACCGCTGGTGTTATAAGACCCTGGTTCATATGTAGCACCCGTTATGTTGCTTATATAATTATCAACTATGTGTTAAAGTTACTGGATAGCGGTTACGAGAATTGAAGAATATTCGTCGTCATCTGTGAAACAGATATTCAACATGTTCCTTAATGGTCATTCAACTCATAATGGCGTTCGATAAATGAAGTTAAGAGTCCAACTTTGCCTCTTGTAACTCTTGTTTAATAGTTTTCATGTGAGCAACAATCTTCTTTCAATAAAATCATGATATCAAATGCAAGCTATGAAACATCGTATCAACTGAGGTATAAAACTCCATATTATTGCTACATGGAAATGGATCACAATTGTATGGTGAAATTATCTCGTTTGTCGTTAAGTTTTGGCATCAACCGATTTCTAGATGTAAGTCAAGATATGAGACCGACTTAACTGTACCTGTGGTATCTTTTATTTAAACTTCAATTTAATATACGCGTTCAACTTGTTAACCAAACTTTGAATTATTTAGTGAAAGGAAACTATAGTAAGACGTAGAGTTACAGGATAATAAATTATTCTTTCGAGTCGTCTTAGAAGCACCAGTGTGAAGTCAGCTTCACGAGAATAAAGGAACAAGTCGGCCAGAAGAGGAGCATATTTGTTTTCTATGAGACTGCTGATTGTTTGTTGAAAAACGTGTTTTCAAACGTAACAGATATGTTGTCAATTAAGATACTGAAAATGTCAGTTTAAGATATTTTTGTTTGAATCAGAGTGTTTTTTGTTTAATAAATTAATTAAGATTTACCGCCTCCTAAGAAAAGATAACCGTGTCTACATTGGCCATTCTTTGTAATGAAACAAAGCAAGGCATGTTCCTCTCATTTGTGTTTTACTCTGGAATATGGAATATTTATTTACAGTGAAAAAAGTCTACTGTTTTAATGTAATTGCAAGATAAAAGAGATTTGGAGTAAATGTATACAAACCAATCTGATTGTTAATAGGGTAAAGATGATTTAATATATAAGAAATAGGTTATATGGTACCCTTGGTAGACCAAGTACGTGGTGAGGACATTTCTGTCCAATTCTGTAAGTGAAAAAAATGGGTAATAAGTTTTCAAGCTTAAACGCATTTCGTTGTTATTTTTAGGAAATCGTGAAATCAAACTCTAACAATGATATAATTTTTCATTACAATTTCGAAATATACGGCATTTGCAGGTGCTGGGATGTTGCTACATAAAATGGAAAGTTCACAGTTGGTTGAACACACCTCTTAAAGTTAAGTTCTTATCTTACAATCACTGTCAATTCAAACATGAAAATATGAAGCAGGTACAAATGTACTCTTAACCATTCACTATGCTTGATGCTTACATTTTTTAATTCGGTCAAAACCCATCCTAATGAAATATTAGTCTCAGGGCTTTCATACGTCCAGATGATTTGGACTCAATACTGATATGTTACATGACAGACATTTTAATAGGTTCTCCCCTTTAAGTAACTAATTTCATAATTTTATTGAAAACAGATGTTCAAACGGATTAGACAAAACTGATATTAGAAAGAACGAAATATATGGCCGCCACAGATTACTTTTCAATATTGGTCAGTTTTCAGTTTTCCATCTCAAACTATGCAGCCACACAGTTCCAAACTTGAAAGTAATTACGATTCGTAAGACTTTTTGCAAAAAATTTTCATTTGTTAAATTTTCTGTTTATTGTCTCGCCTATGAAGCCAGAATTGAAAGCATGGTCATTTAATCACATCTTTTTAACCCGGAAATTCAGAGCTTGGCATATTGTTAATATAGTGAAGACTGTATATTGCCATCATGATATCATTTGAATTTGAAATGTTGAATTTTTAATGTGATGCTACATTGCAGTCTCAGTGTCTAAATATTTCAAATTGTTTTGTATTACAAAAATAAAATAAAGCAAATTCACACGGCTATCAATGTTAAGTCTGAATAAGCTCATCTTTTAATTCAGATTGAAAAATATGATAGTCATTTTGATGATATTGTTCTATGTTATCAGTAGTAATGTTGGTTAATCAAATATGTAATCAAATACCTTACGCGTTTTCTGTATACAAAGTAAACTACAAAATTAATGTTCATCTCCACGTGACCAAAATAAAATAACAATTCACCAGGCATTTACAACAAAGCTGTTGTCATGTTGTTAATTATTTAAATACATTTTTTCGTACACACTTGTCAACTAGGTCCCTTGTAAGGTACTTAAACTAATGTTGTTGAGTTTTGCTGCTTCTTTTTTCATTCCAAAGCTAAGATTAAATATTAGAGATAAGGGCAACAACTTTTACACACATATTGCTTATGCTTTCTTTTTTTCAGCAAACGGTTTCCTATGTGAATGAATCACAGCCTGAAAATACTTTAAATACAACAGATATTCATATTGCCGTAACAAAGTAGCAATCAGTGACGACCACAGCCGGGGAATTAACTGATAAAACATTATTGTACCCTTAAAGTCAACAAGAATTAAGTGGAACTAATCATGAAGCTGAAATTCATCTAACACAAAATCTTTTAATATTGTTTCACCGCCGTACAATGAATATCATTGACATAATATACAACAGTATTTTCAGACAGTATGTGTTTATATTTAATCTCATAGCATTACATTGAATATTAACAAAAACATACAAGAGAAAATCGGTGACTTCATTCCTAGTTACGTTATATCAGAGGAAAGGAGAAACAAGAAAGACTCTTTTATGACATTTTATTTTTAAACCCATTTTGTTACATGCGTTAAACATTTTTCTATACGAGAAAAATTTATCGTAATGAACTTTCGGTTCAGTATTTTGCGTATTTGCAGTAATCTCTATATGAAGCAAAGATTAAATAGGACCTAAATTACTCTACACGCATATTTGGGACCAATATTCGGAAAATCTTATCAACTGGAACATATTGTGCATTTGCTGCTTCTGCAAGAATGTTGCTGCATAAAAAAGAAAGATAGCAAATACAACTAATTCGTAATCCCTTTTGTTTTGACCTCATAATTAACTTCTTGGCTCTAGCTGTAGCAGTGGTATCCTTATTTTCAATTTCAATACGAAACTAATTTACGTATCAATAAGTAAGCCATGTGGTACCGGTATGATTATGTTATGACAATTGTGATATTTTGCCAGCATTAAAAATAAGGAGATTGGTATGAATGCATTATACATCTTTATAAAATCAACTATTTCTGTAGATTAATTGAATTCCACAAAGTTAAAATCTTAGTTTATGAGGAACAGCAATGTAATTCATATTTTTGTTTTAAATTAGAAAGTAGATGTATTATCAAAAATAAAGATATTTTATAGTTAAACAATCATGATGGTTATTTGCATATAAATATAATCAGACATATCATATGAAAGACGATACAATATACAAAAATGAAACCTGCATTATTCGTTCATATCGCAACCACTAGGTCAGTACTCTAACAGTCCGTACACCGTCTGTCGACTAATTTGACATATCCACTATCCAGTACTTTGGTATGTAAATGAAATGTTGTCTTTTTTTAATAATCATGAACACTCTAAATAGGTTTCTACGATTTGGATTACACTCCTGGTTTGTATAATTATTTACAGTGGGTCAGGTAAATAAATTCTAAGAGACTATATTTTTGTCCGTGTCATGTCCGCCATGTTTACCTTGTTGTATCAATACCAGTTGTGCATTCAAAGCATTGGTCTTGATAGAACAACCTTGGCATAATGTTGCTAACTAACCAGAAAGTATAAAGATAAAATTTCCTTTCTGTCACTGCAGCAAATTTTTCACGAAATGGTTGATCTATGCGATGGTCTGTTCCATTATATACTAAATAACGACATTTTCCTCCCATCTAAGATTGTGGTTTACCATCTTATTCAACGTCGTCTGGTCTCCTAAGTACCGAACGGGACCTATTCCTTAATATGACTGTTTTGTCGAGTGTAGTTATGATATTGTTTTTGTGAGTATGGTTGGATATCGTGTTTTGTCGTATCGTTTGTGGTTTAACCTCTGCATTTTTGGTACATTTCGGCACGGTTCGTGTTACCTAGTATTTAGTTGCGTTTTGTGTACTATTGTTTGTCTGTTTGTCTTTTTCTTTTTTAGCCACGGCGTTGTCAATTTATTTTCGAATTATGAGTTCGATTGTCCCTTTTTTATCTTTCGCCTGTCTTTCACATATTTCTTATTTGTCAGTAAACTCGAATTACTCGTTGTTCGTCAACGGTGTTTTTGTTTGGTTTATGGCGTTTGTTTTCAAGTGTGTTTACTGTTTGGTTTTACATGATCTTGTCTTATATTACAGTTATTTCACCATTATGTTTTACATGTTTTATATGTATGAAAAAGTTAATATAGTTAATCAGCTATTTCAGTTACATTATATTTTAGTTTAAAACAACTATATGTACAGTGTTTTGTTCACGCACAGTGTTAATTTAAAAGAAAAACCAACATAGTAAGAAAATACAAATAATTATACCATTACAAATATAATTCCATTTTGATATTCTTGTCATGGTTATAAATAATACATAAAAGAGGGGCAAAAGATACCAGAGGGACATTCAATCTCATAGATCAAAAATAAAAAGACAACGCCATGACTAAAAAAGAAAAAGACAAACAGACAAATAATAGTACACAAGACCCAACATAGAAAACTAAAAACTTAGCAACACGAACCCCTAAAAACTGGGATGATCTCAGGTGCTCCGAAAGGGTGAGCAGATACTGCTTCACATGTGGCACCCGTCGTGTTGCTCATGTTACTAAAATAAAATCATTACAAAATCTATCCCAATTTGAAATTCTTGTACGCATCTAAAATAAAACAAATATATTCAATTTTTAGAAACTTACCTGTTATAATATAAACGTAACAAAAAAAAACGTCACTGTTTTTGGCCTTGATACATTTGTGTGACGCACAATTTATAATTCGTTTGTGGTGTCCTGGTGTACTGTCGTAATTTCATTGGAAGTGTCCGTTGTTATTCTTTGGTTTACATGTTGTTATGTACTATTATGTCATTTATTTATATATTTCAATGCACTGTAAGTGTTTGCGTTTATTTTTACTGTATTCCTATCACGTAATGATGTTACTTTAGCGGTATATTTAATATTGCCATATCAGAGGGAGGTTTGGATAGCTATAAAACCAGGTTCAACCCAACATTTTTTTTTAAAATGTCCTGTACCAAGTCAGGAATAGCGGTATACTAATGTTGTCTTTATTTAGTTGGTAAAAGATTGGATAAAAGTGCATTACATATCCTTAACTGAGAACACACAAATTACAGCAGCTGGTATTTTTGATTTCAAACTAAGTTCAAAAGTTTGATATACAAGAGATCGATTAATTACGACATACGCCAGAGCTTGAACATTTTGAAAAGTTGACGAGGATGAAATACAAGTCTATTTGTTACTTAAATTGATTCCATAGCTAAGTTTTGTGGTTTTGATTTTTCATATATATGAATACATGTGAATAAATGACTTGACTAAAGTTACCTCTTGCATTACATTGATATTCCTAAATTATATGTATTTTTGAACTCATATGTAAAAAAGACTGCCCTGACATTGTAAACTAGAAGTAAATTATAACTGTAAATACTACATTTAATTATTAGCTTCGCACGGAGTTGATTTATAGGAGCAGTTAAAATATTATCCAGTCCATAATGATGATTGTAGGTTTTTTTCCTGACGGGTTGTACTGTGTTGTTGTTTGATAGATAAGTTACACTTCAGAGTTCAAAAGGTCTAGAACTAAGTCTTTACCGACATTAGGTATGTCTACAGTAACTATTCAAATCTAACAGACAACCGAGTTTCGTTCACGAGTTGTATTAAGACTCCTCACAACGTCTGCAAACTGAGACTCAGATAACAACAAGAGTCTTACTGAATTAAAACGATCCGGGGAGGTTCAGATGCAGGTCTGTCAGTCGAAACATACATGTAGATATATTATAACAATAAGCTCAAAATAAGAGTTAGCATCATAAAACGTCATTCAAAATGCGTCTGAAAGTACAGATGTCCAAAAAAGGCTGGAATCTAATGCTGTACTAGTAAAAGAAACCACGATAATGGGTTTATTGGAGAGTCCTTTTGGCGACGATTGTGGTCAACACAAGGAATCTTGTTGATTGGATTTAGTTTCGTTATTTTTGTTTGTCTGGTATCTTTAATTAACCGGAGGCGACAACAGGCAGTTCTTCGTGATCCGTGGTTAATGTGACCAGTGGTAAGGGTCAAATATCAACAACTCTCCATGACAAGCACCTCAAAACATGCGTCAAGAGATATGCAGGACTGTTGTAGTGGAAGGAAAAGAGTGTGTAGAATTCTCCTTTCAAAAGGACTACTTGTGCATTAGTGAATAGGGTTAAATATGCTGAAAACTCTCATCGAACGTTCATATAAATAATGATATCCGAGTCAGTAAATGTGTACCTGCACTATTTAGTCATTCTATCCACCCCAAACAGAAAAAATCAACTCCATTTAAAGAAACAGGTAGTTTACAAAGCATTGTGGTTGAATTTGAAATAATATTGGTCGTGAACAAATAGGATAATATTAACTTAGAGTAGGGCAAGTAAGAGTGATATTTTGCTATAATCTAACCTATCGTTTTTGGATCAGTTAACCAAGCTAAGTAAATATTCAAGGTACAAATGAATTCACTCTACAGAAACAAACTGATAAAACCTTGTCTGAAATTGCCCCAAGAAACGTGTTTGAATACTAGACTATTTTATACAATAGCACATATCAAAGTCATAGAAAAATTAGCTCAATAGATATAAGAAGATGTGGGATGAGTGCCAATGAGACCATTCTCCATCCAAGTCACAATTTATAAAAGTAAACCATTATAGGTCAAAGTAAGACTATTTGTTGTTCTTGCAATACCATGAATAAAAGATTATAAAATTAAATGATCAATATTCCTAAGGGAACTAAAACAATCAATGATTGTCCACGACTTGGTCTTAAATATATAAGGTTTTCACTGTTGACGAAAAGTGGTTAATCAATGCAAAACAATGCAAACATTAGTCTCTTAACTTTCGATATTGCAAGACGTCATGTAGCAACGTATTTGCTTGGCTAAAATGAAAGAACGAAAAGAGAAAATGTTAGACAAATAGCATCAAAGTAGTAGAAGGATGACTTGTTTTAAGTGTGACAACAAGGGTCAAATAAAAAAATGCGACCGTATCGTAATAGCCGGTATCGAATCAGAACAAGTAATAAACATACAAATCTTTCTGCAAAAATCAATAGTATTCATGAATCTTTTGGGCAATATGGTTTCCAATAAAAACGCAGTGATATTTCTGAATGTTGACCCCGTTGGCTTTCAATGGTTTAAATCGTGTTAAATAAAAAATTGATAGCGATTTATGTTTAATTTTACGATTACAGTTATTGAATATCAAATCAACGGAAATCCGCACTTGTATTGATAGTAAACAGACAAAATACGATCTTTCGATTGATTTCAAAAGGTGGAAAATATTGTTTTTTGGAAATAATGTAACAGATATCATAACAAATAGCTCTTGGAAGCTTGGACTCGTAACAACATAGTCAAAGATATATAGGAATAAACAAAAATATTTACAAATGTCATCTTTTACGTAATAAGATATCACCGGATACATTAAGATTTATGCTTTCCTTGCATGGAGAAAATCCCAACACATTTGTGAAAGGAGGCTCATTTCTAACTGACGGTGTAACAAAATTGTTCGTCACGACCCAATTCTTTACATGTTGCCTGTGTTGGTTTTTTCATTTTGTTTTCGTTCCCATCCAGTATTCCTATCAAGTTAGTGTTGTGCTGTTAGTGTAAAGTCTAGTTATTTATCCTGCTAAGAGATATTAGTGTAACATCATTGATTTCCAAAAACAAGCCAAGCGTAAATCAAAACGGGGAAGTCTGACAGTTTGGTTGTGTAAATGTTAAAAAGGTCATTACTTAAGCTCACTTCAGCAGAAATTTATATTTTAAGTCAGCTATTATGAAGTTTGCTGTTAATATCAAATGACAAGGATAAAATCCGATTTTTTGGAGTTAAAAACAAATGTTGCTATTTTAATGATGTTAAATTCTTATGAATAGATAATGCAGACAATCAATGTAACAAACATAACCTGGGGAAATCATATAAATTAAAATGGGAGCAAAACTAAGTTTGTCGACAGCGTAAGTCGCCCTTTCTATATATTCATCTCCAGTCATGCATATCCACACTTGGTCAAAATGTCACAATTGGGAATAGGACACAGAGAAGGT